GGCCCCGCTCCCCCGCCCGTCCCCGGCGCCGCGCTCGCGCCCATTCAGCACCGGACCGTCCGCTCCCCCGCGCGGATGCGGAGGAGGGACGTGGGGCGGGACCGGGAGTCACGAGGACAGGAGAGACCAATCGGAGCTCGCGGGGGGGGGGGTCCCGCTGCCGCCCCGCCCCCTGGACGCGCGACCCCCTCCACCCAGAGCGGTTGGGGGAGCCGGGCGCCGCCAGCAGGACGTTGCCCGCCTGCTGGCCTGGGAGGAGTCGGGGTGTCGGGCACCCACAGCTCACTTGAGCTCTGCGTGCGGTTAGCTGGTGAAGGAACGAAAGGTACAGCTGGACTGATTGTAGGCTTTTACTGCGCGTAGGATTGGTGCTTGCGGAGCCGGTGAATGGAGGGGCTTTACGTAGTCACGTGCTTCACTTGCCAGCACAACCCCCCCAGGCCGACCAGGGTTCAGAGTTCCTGGGGCCCTGAGACCTCGAGAACTGCACGAGGGCAGCGTGGGCGTGTGTCTGGGGACTGGCAAAACATCTTTAGGTTGTTCCACTTGTCCGAGAAGAAGGAAATAGTGATTACCCCCTAGTATCATAGATGGGTAATTGAGGCCCAGAGAGCAGAAGTAAGTTACCCTAAATCATTGTGGTGGCAGAGCAAGGATCAGAACCTGCACTTGGAGTGCCCCTTTCCATACCTCAGGAGTCTTCCCTTGATTCTGGAGAGGAAATGTCATACAATTTTTTTAAGGCATAAATATTAGTGAATCCCCAAATTCAAGAATTAAAAGGAGTTTAAAGCACTGGCATGTTATTTCTTCAACACAGCTGAATGTGTATAATGCGTCTGCGACATTTCTGTGCCTTAGGACTTGTTGACTCCTCGGTGAGCTCAGTGAAATTGGTCTGCCTTCAGAATTTCCTTTCAGGTACAGAGCATCGCGGTCATGTGCCGGTAATACCGGTTCCGCTTTAAAAAGGAAGATCCTAGACACTGAGCCAAATGTATTTACGTCATCTGAGAGTTTTGTCGCTCTTTTTTGCAGTAGTTTGCACAGCTCCCAACAGGGTTTGGAAATGTCTGTGTTCTTTCCCCGGTGGGGGCAGGGGTGCTGGAAAAAATGTGGTATCGGGGTAACAAAGGTCAGAAGCGAAATCTTGGAACGGAAAAGGTGGGGGTGGTGGGGGGACTCTGCTGTCATACTTTCCAAAGGGATTTGCCATAAAAATGTTTCCAGGTTATTCTAAGGTGAGGACACGGGAGCATTTTGAAAATATTGGAGGAAAAGCTGTCACTGAGATTTCTAAATCTAGTGGATTGGCCAAGGCTGGCCAAGCAGAGCAGCTGCGCGTGGCGGGTGGGGCAAGGGGGGGGGGGGGATGGGGTGCTAGTGACAGCTGCAGGGAGAATGCTGAGCACCTCACCACTTCTCTCTTGGAGACCAGCCCAAGGCCAGCCAGCTTGATCAGACACTCTTTACCTCTCTTTGCCTCACCTGCTCTTCCCCTTTCTCCCAGATACTCCTTGTCGGTAAAATGCCTTGAAAGCATTATGGCTGACATAAAGATCAGGGTATCCTGGCTTGGAAGAGTGGGTGTAAGGTGGGTGTGAGAAAGAAAGGGAGCTTGAAACTGCCTCCTGTCCCAGCCTAACAGGACGGCTGTTAAGCTTACCCTGCACCCACTACCTCATTGACCCCGTTCACATTTGGTGGGAAGAGAAGTTGACAAGCCCCTGCCCTAAAGCATCCTTTTTACTAGCTGCAGAGCCATCCTCAGCTACTGTTCTGCATTGAGATAGAGATCCTCCAACTGTAGATTAGGATCAGCCACTAGATCTCAAAGCCTTACCTGGAATCTCTTCAAGTCATTGGCTGGTCTCAGAAAAAGCTCAGGACCCTGACTAGCAAAGTGGCCAAACTATTGGTAAATCCGGGACAGCTACCATGATTTTGTAATTCTTCAGTTCCTTGTGTCCGTTACTTAGGTCATTCTGATAGCTGGCACTGTGGTTGCCCCCAACATCCACTCCCTCTCCCCTCCCCTGTGATGCAACATATGGTTTAGGTAAATTTGCCCCACTCTTAACTCTATGAGTGAGCTCTGATTGGTCTAGGTCAGAGGTTCTCAAAGTATGGTCCATGGACCCCTAGGGGGTCCTTGAGGACCATTCAGGGAATATCTGAAGTTAAAATTATTTCATAATTTTCTAAGACATAATTTACCTTTCTCATTGATGGTGCAAAGGTGAAGGTGTGCAAAACTTCTGGTACCTTCATAAATCAACATGGTGGCACTGAACTGTACTAATATCCTTCACCACCACACGCATGGTAGAAAAGTATATATTTTTTTAATTTAAAAAAATGCAGTTTCATTTAAGAATGTTCTTGATGGAGCAGTAAATATTACTAAATTTATTAAAATCTCAACTGTCAAGCATGTATCTTTTTAGTATTTTATATGACAAAATGGAAAATGCATATAAAACCCTTCTGCTGGGAACTGAAGCATGGTGGTTGTCCAGGGGAAAGCTCTCTTGCAGCTGCAAGCTGAACTAGCTGGTTTTGTGACGGGTCGGGGTCATGGAGCACCATTTTTACGCGAGAAAGCAACTGACAAATTATGGTTATTTGGTAGACATTTTCTTGACAATCAATTAAGTGAGCCTGTCTCTTCAAGGAAAACAATGGCCTATTGGTTGCCAATGATGAAAAAAATTCCAGCTTTCAAAAGAAATTTAGAATTTTGGAAGAGTTTATAGGGACATAAACCATAAACCATAAAACATAAACCATGGGACAGCTTCTCAATATTTAAGGACTTTTCTGATGGGACTGATGGTGATGTTAACAAATATGATTTGGGGATAATGGATCATGTATGATGCGCCAACACTTGGAAGACCTGGGTTTACTCAGTGAATCAAGGTTTTCCAGATGACTAATGCATGATGTTACAAAATCACATATGGGTTAAAGATGAATTTTAAATGCAAGGCAGACAATGGACTTAAACCGTATGAAAAGTTTATAGATAAGGTTTCAGATTCCACAGTGCAACAAGCCTTTAAGATATGACCTCTTGTAGAGTTTTGGTATAGTACCAAAGAAGAATATCCACAATTATCTTAAAAAGCTGTTAAAATACTCCTCCCTTTTCCAATTACATATGGATGTGAAGCAGATTTTCTTCCTGTACTTGAACCAAACGATTTGCAACAGATTGAATACAGAAGCAGATATGAAAATCCAGCTGTCTTCTATTAAACCAGACTTGAAGAGACTTGCAAATTAAAAAGTAAAGGAAAAAAAAGCCATTCTTCTCACCATCTTTTTGTTTTGGAAAACATAGTTATTTTGGAGGGGATATTAATGCCTTTTAAAACATAGTTATTTTTTTTTTTTAAAGATTTTTTTATTTATTTATTTGAGACAGAGAGAATGAGAGAGAGAGAGCGCATGAGGGGGGGAGGGTCAGAGGGAGAAGCAGACTCCCTGCCGAGCAGGGAGCCCGATGCGGGACTCGATCCCGGGACTCCAGGATCATGACCTGAGCCGAAGGCAGTCGCTTAACCAACTGAGCCACCCAGACGCCCAAAACATAGTTATTTTTAAATTAACTTGTTATAACATGTAAATTTATTATTTTTATGATTATTTTATTAATTTTGTTTTTTAAGATTTTATTTATTTACTTGAGAGAGTGAATGAGAGAGAGAGAGAAGGAGCAGGGGGAGGGGCAGAGGGAGAAGCAGACTCCCCACTGAGCAGGGATCCTGGGGACTCCGGGATCATGACCTGAGCCAAAGGCAGATGCTTAACCGACTGAGCCACCCAGGTGCCCTATTTTATTAATTTTAATAAATTTAACTTATAATTTGGCAAATATCAATCGATTAAACCTCCATTAAAAAGATTCCTTGGGATCCTCAGTAATTTTTAGGAGTGTAAACGGTCCTAAGACTAGAGCTTGAGACCTGCTGGTCTGAGCCACCCATCTTTCCTTGCCACTAGGATTGATTCATGGGTGGCCGTAGGAATGAGATTAACCCAGTCAGAGGAAATCTCCAATGTATGGGATGTGGGAGAGAGATGCTCTCATCTCTAGCTATACAGGAGTCAGGCAGTAGGTAGCCTCGGAAGCTGCTGCTAAGGCAGTCATTTTAGACTACAAGAAGGACTTACCTTAGAAGAGAATAATGCTGAGGGAAGTAAGAGGGAAGTTAGAAAGAAACCATTCTCTTGGGGCGCCTGGGTGGCTCAGTCATTAAGCGTCTGCCTTCAGCTCAGGTCATGATCCCAGGGTCCTGGGATCGAGCCCCGTATCGGGCTCCCTGCTCTGCGGGAAGCCTGCTTCTGCCTCTCCCACTCCCCCTGCTTGTGTTCCCTCTGTCACTGTGTCTCTGTCAAATAAATAAATAAAATATTTAAAAAAAAAAGAAAGAAACCATTCTCTTTATGACATTTTTGAGCCACTAGATCAAACCAGCCCTGCAGCCCATCCTACCTCTATATACTCCAGTTTTATGAGTCAATGGAGGCAACCTCAGGCGCCCCCTTGATGTTTTGTGTACCTGTTTCTGAATATTTTTATCTCAATAGGGGCCTAAGGCCTCAGGATAGTATACTTCCTAGGGTTTATTCATTCAGCTTTTTCATCATGTCATCAACGTAAGGTAGCTTCTGAAGGGAAACTGGAAGGCAGAGCAGGGGCTGGGAGGAAAGGGACCTAGCACAGACAACTGGGGTCAAAAGTGCCAACAATACTTGTGAGAACAATAAGGAACAGTGGCATATGATCTTGCATAGCCAAGTTAAAGCAGAGTTTTACTTTCTTTTGCTGTTATGTGTTTCTCAAATTGGACAACATGAGCATGCATTGCTCTTTTAAGGAAAAAAAATAGAACTATTTTATTATTTTTGAATAGCCCTTGAAAAGGGCACCAGCTTAGAGAGCAGATTGGCATCAGGATATGGCAAGAGAAGTCTTGGGCTAAAATTGCTAGCAGGAAGAAAGATCTGTAAGGGATGCAGATAGGCCCGGAAGATAAACTTCCTTTCATTTACAGCTTTGCCAGCAGCCAACCTCAAAATTCAAGGGGATGAGCAAGAATCCCCAAGGGTTAAGGAATCATTAATTATGCCTCCATCAAAGTGGCTGGAATATTTGCAGTTCAGAGAGAGAGAGAGACCAATGTGAAGATTAGGTCAACACTAAAAAAGGCTTGAGATACCACATTAAGTGAAAACAAAAAACAGGACACAGATTGGTGCAAACTTCTATCATGTGGGCCAAAAACAAGAAGAAAACTTGGAAAAAGAAAACAGTTG